GACGGTTGTGCCCTGCGTTAGCGCGGGCCCAGCCTCGACGCGACTTCTCCCTCGTCCTCCTTGCCCTCCCTCTCCGTTTCCTTCCCCTCTGCCGCCCCTTTTGCATGGGCAGGGGCGCCGCAACTTCGCCGATTGCAAACCAGTATGTCGCACCCGCTGCGTCGTCATGTTTCGAAGGGGCGCTCTGAAGCGTGGCGCAAACGCCGCAGGTCTAAACTGGATAATGGTTCATGCGTGAGCACGCGCGTCGCACCAACTGCCATCGCGTCGCGCCCAACGCGCGCCAGCACACCGCGTCCGCCCGCTCACCCGGCATCGCCGCGGGGCGCCGTCGCCGACCCCGAGAGCCGACCACCCTCTTCATCAAGCATGCGTCCGCGCTCTGCCTCAAGGTCGGGGCCGTGTCGCCCGCGACGGCGATTGCTTCTCCGTGGGCCGAGCGGGCGAGGGGCCTTCTGCTCCTCGGCGCCCACGGGCGACAGCGAGCCTCCGCATCCCACCATGAGCCCCCTGGCCCTATTCGCGGGCGGCGGCGAGGACAAGTCCTCGGAAGCGCCGTGGTGCGCGTCGGCGAGACTCTTGAATATGGTGAGTTGTTCCTCCTGGTCCTCTTTCGTCAGCTCACCGCAGCGCCCCGCGATGTCAGGCCGTGCGACACATGCGGCAGGCGCGCTGCCCGCAGGCGGCTCGTCCACCCCACCGCCCAAGCCGAACGCGCCCTCGCCCTGGGAAGGCTCGGCCGGTGCATCTGCCGCGCCAGCGGGGCGAGACGCCGAAGTGACCGCGCGGGCGGGCAGAACGCTTGCCGCGCCTGGCCAGAACCCCAAAATGTCGCCGACAACGGAGACCGTGCGTCCAGGGCCATTGCCAAACCTGGGGGCGACGTCGGCAGTCGCAACCGTGAGCACGTCGCGGCCCTCCACCAAATTGCCCATGTAGCCGACCGACCAGGCCACCTTCTCGGCGTAGTCTGATGGGAGCAGGCGGGTCGCTGGTGATGGCGTGTTTCGCACCTCGCTGGCGAAGAGGTCGGGGTTCCTGAGGTTGGACCGCTAGATTATGTTTAACTCTTCTGCGAAAAGCGAAGGAGGGCCATAAGTCCCTGGCCCCCCCAGGTAATGCAGTCCCTCGGAAGCTGCGCCGCCTTCCTCGGCAACTCCTGGTCGCGCGCGCTCGAGAAGGCGTGGAACCGCGACTTCCAGGCCTGGGCGGCCTTCGCGGCGGCAGCCGCCTTGGTCTCCGCGGCATCCGTCACCCTGCGGCACTCGGCCAGCCCCTTCTTCAATCCCCGCGCTCGGGCCTGCGCGGGCGGGGCAGCACAGCGGCCGAGCGGGCGGGGGGAGTCGGGGCAAGGCTGGGTCAAGTTGCTGCTGTTTCGTGATTGCTGCTCCTTGCTGCGGTTGCTGTAAGCGCGGTTGCTGGCGTCGCGGTGTTCTTTGGTGTCGTTGCTTCGTGCGTCGTGCTTTGTGGTTGTTTGTCCGTGTTTCGTGCTCGGTTGTCTTCGCTTCGTTGCTGGGTTGTCCTCGCATCGTGCTGTCTGCGTTTGCTGTCGTTGCGGCGTTTCTTGGTGTCCTTGCTTCTGGTCCGTCTGCGGGGTGGGGAGAGGTGCAAAAGACAAACAACGTGTCTGAACGCTGCGCGCCGAGCTCCCCATTGCCCGTCGCATCGCCCGTGCCCCAGCCAACCTGGGCGCGCGCAGGCGCGGCAATGCGCTTGCATATTCCAAAGGGAACAAGGGTGATGCATCGCAGCCTGCTCTTCCAGGTCCGCGGTCTTCCGCGGCAGCGGCTTCTGGAACTTCAGCTTGAGCGTCTGCTTGGCCGTCTTGGCCTCGGTCGTTTTGACCCTGGCCTTGCGCAGGCGGTCGTTCTCGAACTTGCGCTCGCACTGCTCTGTGTTTCTCGCCCCCCCTGGCTTTTTAAATGGAGGCGAAGGCAAACCGAACAAATTGCTTCGAGCAAGCGCGCGCCGAACGAAGACGCGCAAGAAAGGAAGCCTGTTTCTGGCGGGGTGGATCGATCGAGCTCGGGGAAATTGATGAGGAGGCGGAGGAAGAGGATGAAGGGGAAGGGGGGGGGGAGGGGGGGGAAAGGGGGGGGGGACAAGGAGGATGGCAAGGAGGAGTGCAAGGGGATGAGGAGTGGCAGGGGAGAGGAGGAGGAGGAGGAGGAGGAGGAGGAGGAGGAGGAGGAGGAGGAGAGGAGAAGGAGGGCAGCGAGGATGAGGGGGGGGAGGAGGAGGGCAGCGAGGAGGAGGATGAGGAGGAAGGGGGGGGAAGGGGGCATCAGGAACATGGGGTGGCGCGGGGGAGTAAGAGGGCGAGGAGGAGAAGCCGGGGGAGGAGGAGGAGGAGGAGGACGAGGAAGAGGAGGAGTAGGAGGAGGAGGAGGGGCATCAGGAACATGAGATGGCGAGGGGGAGTTCAAGGGGGAGGAGGGGGATGAGGAGGACGATGGTGAGGAGGATTAGGAGGAAGGGGGGGAGGGGCACAAGGAAAATGAGATGGCAAGGGAGAGGACGAGGGGAAGGATGAGGAGGATGAGGAGGGACATCAGGAACATGAGGGGGACGCAGACAAATCACGCGGAGCTCGAGGAGCCGAAGTTGGTCTGCAATCGATTGCTACGCCCTCGACTGGATTGCAATGCGCCGCGAAAGACTGAAGTCGCTTCGCGTTGAAGTGTTTGGAATGCAACACATTGGCGTTCCATCGAGGTCTGTGCGAATCCCTTGGCTTGCAATATGTTTGGTTACATCGGTTTGTATTGCAATCGACTGGGTTGCGGTTGGCAACGCAGCAAGCCATACTGACGATGAGCAGGGGGAGGGAAAGGGTAAGGATGACTGGAGGGATGAAGGAAGAATGTGCGTGATCATGTTGCACCGCCCATGTTGCAATAACTATGTTGCACAACGTGGGCTACACAACAGATGTTGCACAGCCTATATTGCACGACGTCGGTTGCACAACATCGACGACACCACATATACAGCACCGAAGCACAACATATATTGTACTGCGCAGGGTGCACAATACATACAGACCCCGGAAAATAGCGAGCACTCATGCCACATTCATCGGTCAACGCCTCCCCAAAAAATCAAAGTTGGCGGTGGTTGTGATGCGTTGCACCTCGACCACGGTCTCCCCCGCGCGTGCCAAACTTGAGTGTGGGGGGGCAGGGAATGCAAAACAACGCTCAACGTGGGGTCCGCGCTGGTTAACCTATATACACGTATTAGAGAACGAGGGGGGAGAGAAAGAGAGAGAGAGAGAGAGAGAAAGGGCGACAGAGAAAGAGAGATAGAGATAGAGGAAGATAACGAGAGAGAGAGAGAGACAGGTAACGAGAGAGAAAGAGAGAGTCACATACATGTGTATATATATATATATATATATGTAGAAGGCTGCAGTGGCGCTTCGCACCATGCACGCTCTTCCTTGTAGTTTCGAATGCAAGCGGCGTGCGTGCGCGTGGACATGGGGCGGGCCACCGCCACGTCGGAATGGGTGAGGAATTCCGAAGCGGGGGCGACTGGACAACACCAGCTGAGGCCAGCTCAGGGCGTCTCGGGCCCAGCGGCGCGAATACGTCTCAGGCGACTGGTTCGTCTAGCATGAAGCAAGACATCCTCCTCCTCTTTCTCCTCCTCCCCCTTTTCCTCGTCTCCTTTCTCCTCCTCCTCCTGCTCATCCTCTTTCTCTTCTCTCCACCTCTTCCTCCAATTCCTCCTCCTCCTCCTCCTTCTCCTCCTCCTCCACCTCATCCTCACACTCCTCCTCCTCCTCCTCCTCCTCCTCCTCCTCCTCCTCCTCCTCCTCCTCCTATTCCTCCACTTCCTACTCGTCCTCTTCTTTCCTGCTCCTTCCCCATTATCCTTGTCCTTATCTCCTGCCTCGTCGTCCTCTTCATCCTCCTCATCCTCCTCTTCCTTCCCCCCTCCTTCTCCCCAATGTGTCTCGCGCTTTCGCTTCCAATCGGCTCTTGCGGCCTCGGGAGGGCCCCAAAGAGCTTCAAAACAGGCCCCAGAGAGGTCCAAGGCTGGCCCAAAAGGGCCCGGGAAGGCAACAATCCAACAGGGCCCGCAGAGTCGGAAATCAGAACACAAACATTGGAAAAGCAATGTTTTCGGCCTTCTCGCTTTTTCGCTTCTGGATGACTCGACAGGCGTCAAGATGACCCAAGGATTGCCTCAGAGAGGCGCAAGCCGAGGCCCAAAGGCCCAAGGCTGGCCGAAGAGGGCCCAAAGGCTGGCCGGAAAATGTCAAAATAATTTAAAATCGATGAAGACCCATTGGAAAAACAACGTTTTGGGCATTCCCGCCTTGTCGCTTACGATCAGCTCTTAAGACGTCGAGATAGCTCCAGGAGGGCTCCAAATGAGTCCCCAGACGAGCCCCAAAGAGGCCCAAGGCTGGCGCAACAGTGCCCGGAGAGTCGAACATCATAGAACGCCAAATGAAACAAACAATGTTTTCGGCCTCCGGTTTGCTCGGGGGGCGTCAAGATGACCCCAGGATGGCCGCAGAGAGGCGCAAGACAGGCCCGAGGATTCGAAACTCGTTTTGGGGGGGTGGATGCGTGGGTTGTGGGCTCCCCGGCCCTAAAAATATGTTTGAATGGAATACTTTTGCGGATGGGAATCATAGGTGATACATATTAGATACCGCGTGAGATATGGAAGATGGAGGTGGAGGAGAGGACGCGGATGGGCAAGGGGAGGAGGAGAAATCCTTATAGTGGGAGTCCCCGTGCGTGGGGAGGAGGCCCCAGGCGGGTCCAAACGAGCACCCAAGAAATCCCAAATATTCTCCCCTTGAGAGACACCGCAACAACCATGCAGCGTTGCAGCCGCGACGTGCTGCAACAACGCAGCCCCGCCTCCCAGACAGCCCCTGTATTGTTCTGCCGAGATACTTCAAGAACGCCCGGAATAACTCTCCCTCTCATGAACCGCGATGCCGAGCTGGCACGGTGGCGGTGCTGGCCCCAGGCAGCTGGATTGATGTTCAGGAAGAACACGCCACCCGTGTAAGCAGAGTCGGGGGGGCCCATGATGGTAGCCTGCCAATTGAACAGGTCGTCTCCGACAGGCCCAGCCGAACAGCTCGCGGGCGGGTCATTACCCAGATCGGTCAGCTCCTTCTGGATGCGCTTGAGGGCCATCGCGGCAGCCAAGCAGTTGCAATCACACGGGGGCAATTCTTGACCCTGGACAGGAGCCAGATTGATCTGGCTACGTAAGCGGATCAGCAGAAGAGGGGCGCAAACGAGCAGAGGAGGCAGGAGGTCTCTTGGCCGTTTCGCGGACTTCGCGCCCAATGAACGACATCGTGGGCCTCCTCACCGACGAGCATGGGGTAGTGAATGAGTGCACATGTTGTGAACCATACTTGGGGAAAACGCTGGCTTATTACAACGAGAAGCGGATTTATTGCATTGCGCTCCCTATATGGAAGATAGCCAGGGCAGCATTTAGCAAACGCAGAAACCAGTTCATTCAAGTCATGTGCACATGGTTAATACTGGACAAGTTTTCTCAATCCCGAACCAACTCGCTACCTCGGCCTCAATGCAGCGGGGCCACTGTCTGGTTCCTCTGCACGTGCATGTGCGCGCGGGCATAAATGCTCGACGCCAGCGCTGTGGGCAGAAGAGCGAGCTGAGGACAAGAAGTGTTGGGGCCTCTCCTGGATCCCAACATCTGGCCGAAATCGGCGTTTCCCCCCGAAAAAGCCGACAGCGGCATCCCCAATCTTCAGGACAGCACAGCCCCCCCCCCCCAGCCAGGACCTCGCACTCCCGACCTGGGGATCCAGGTGCTCCTGTCGGGGGATGGGGGGTGTCTTTCTCTGTCTTCTCGGGAGCCAAGAGCCACCCTCACTCCCAGGCGGGACCCCCTGGATCACCAGGTCGGGAGTGGGGGTCCTGGCTGGAGGTGGGGGTGGGCTGCGCTGTCCTCGAATTCGGTTCACGGCGACCGAGGTCTCGGCCCGCGAATTGCTTCACCCTCTCGGGGTCAGTTGTCCCCTGCTCTGCCCCGCCCCGAGCGCAGGCCACGCCTGCTTCGCCCGCCCAAGCGAACTCAGACCTCCCACTGTTCCTCGCGAGGATACCGCCAGGACCCACCGATGCACCGAGCCCGGCGTGCGCCATGCTCGGCTCCGAGGGATCCGTGCGCTCGTGACCCGCCCCACGCCGTGGCCCGCGCAGCCAAACCACAAAAGAACAGCACCGGTGGTGGCCGTCGCGGGCCCTCTGCCCCGGCCCTGCCGTTGCCCTTGGCCCTGCTGTTTCGGGTCGGGCGAAAGGGGGGGATAGCAAAGCGGGGGGTTTGAGAATCAGCTCACGTAGCTGATTTTTCCAGCGCCTCCCGGCGCCGGGAGCGGCCATGTATCGAGGAATGCGGCCCTTCGGTGAGGCCGAAACCAGCTGCATGCAGCAAATTTTGTAACCCCCCCTTTCCCAATCCCCCCCTTTCGCCCGGCCCGAGCAGCCAGACCACAAAAGAGCAGCACCGCTGGTGGCCGTCGCGGGCCCTCTGCCCCCGGCCCTGCCGTTGCCCTTGGCCCTGCCGTGGCCCTTGGCCCCGGCGCGCCGTCAGGCCCACGCGCTCCACCACTCGCAGGAGGCAACTACTCTTGCAGATGGCCGGGATCCGCCGCCGGGGATCTGCGAGGCACCACACCGAGGCAGAAGCGAGCGGGCACACCCTGGGAGCAGTTGGGCACTCTTGAAGGGGCCCCAGGACACACAAATAAATACACACAAATAAAACAAACCCCCATAGTTTCCAATATTTTCTGGGTTTCTGCCTTCCCCCCCCCTTCCCATATTTTCCCATATTTTCCTGAGAATCGCCGATTAATTGTGTCTGTGTGTTTTTTTCCCTCCTGAACTCTGCGAGCAGGTGGGCACCCTGGCGAGCCGGCGCTCTGCGAGCAGTGGAGCGCGCTCGGCGAGCCTTGGCGGCGCGTGCGCGGGCGGCGGGGCCGCAGAGGGGTGGCCGCCGGAGCAGCCGCCCGCGCCCACGCCCTCTCTGGGCGGGGCCATCGCGTCCACACCACCACGCGGGCGGGGGCCCCATCGTCGCGGGAGGGGTGCTCGCCCGAGCGGGAGGGGGCGGACGGGGGCGCGTCGCGCGCGGAGGAGGGGAACGCGGAAGGGAGGGCAGGGAGGGCAGGGGAGGCAAAGAGAGAGGGGGGGAGCTGGCTGGCCCCTTTCGTCGGGCGGGGCGGTCGCGCGCGGAGGCGGGGAACGCGGGGCGCAAGGGCAGGGGGAGGCAGGGAGGAAAGCGTCGGGCCCTGGAGACGAAGGAAGAGGGAGAACCGCCAGACTCGTGAAGCAAGGAGACGCCTAAAGTACCCATCGGTCAGAAGAAGTTGGTAGAACCATGAAACAGGAAGGCGTTGGAAAAAGATTGGGCTTCCGCCCGCCCCCTGAAGAGGAGGGAAGAGGGGCAACCGCTAGACTCTTGAAGCAGGGAGGCGCCTAAAGTAGACTAAGACCTGGGCATCCCAAAATACGTACTCCCAACGACCGGCGTTGAATACAGGCTCCAGAGCGTCACCGTCGTCGTCGTCGCTGCTGCCGCCGCCGCCGCCGCCGTCGTCGTCGTCGCCGTCCCGCTTCAGGGTCGGCGTCGCCGGCCGCTGGGCCTTCCCAGTGCCCACTTCCAACGACCAGCGTGTAGGGCACTGCTTCGGCTGGTGGGCGGCCGGTGCCCGTCCGAGGGTGCCTCCTGGGCGCCCCGATGGCCACCCGATGGCCGCCCAGTGGCCGCCATGTGGCCGCCCGTGGCCGCCACGTGGGCGCCACATAGATTGCAGCACATTGTGTGTAATTCATTTGTGCGCCAAAATGGCGTTCGCCACAGAACTTGCCGCACATAGCTTGCCCACCCACCACATCGATTCTCATGCTTTAAAAGAGCATCGGCTCTGCCCCCTCTGGGATTATCCGTACCCCTTTGCACGTTTTGCAGATTGAACGTCCATCGTCCATCCGAAATATGATCCATACAGTCCCAACCCAACCGGTATCGACCCCCACCGCCATCCCCTGCCAAAAATGATATGCGCGCAAACCCGTTTATCACAGGTCATCAATTTCCAAGAATCCTTTACAACAAATGTAACAATGTTCACACGTGCGCGTCGTCGCACGCGCATGCCGGAATCTGGCGAAAACTCCAGATTTCGTAAGGAATCCAAAATCGGCTGCCCAACGAAGACATATACAACACATGGTGTCGAAACATCGACTTCAAAAAAGCGTGCGCGCGCGCCCTGGCGAATCGTTACGAGAACCATTCGTTGTTCAACATTTTCACGACATGCTACTGAAAAAAAGTTTCGCGCGCGTGATTGTTAAAATCGTTCGAACGCCCTTGCGCGCGCGGTGTCTCAATAATCCCTTGCAGCAAATGGAACGCACGCCACACGAGTGCGTCGTCGCGCGCGCATGCCGAAATCATTCAACAACCTTAAATGTCGTAAGAAACTGAATACCAATAGCCCCGACACTATGTAAAAAAACATCTGGCTTCGCAACAAACGTTTTCGAGAAAGCTTGCGTTCGCGCTCTTGCGAGGTCATCGGGTAACCACTGGGTGTTCAACATGTTCATGCGTTTCTGCCAAACGGGCCTCTCGCGACGCATGCCAAAATCAATCGAACGCCTTTGCGCGCGCGTGCTGGGGGGGGGGGGCACGATCCGTGTGAAATGACATCACGCGGCCACTCTCGCGCGTCGGCCGCGCGCGCATGTCGAACTCGTTCCAAAATCTGCATCACCGACGCGAGGACGCCGTCATAGTCGTCGGCGTGATCAGCATTGGCGCCGTCGGTGGCCGCGCAATCGTCGCTGTCACCATCGTCGCCACCATCGATACGACCATGATCGTGTCTACCGTTGCCGACGTTGCCATGATAACGCGCCCGCCCAATTCGCCGACTCGCACTGAAGTGCCCGCTGGGATGTGCCCAGCGGTCAGCGCTATCGCGGCCGCGTCGGCCGCGCCAAACTAGGCGACCGCCGCGCGCGTGTGCATGCGCGGGCTGGCGCGGCCGCAGAGATGCACCAGCCAACGCCAAGCACTCATCGCAATCGCCGCCGTATGGGTTTTGCAACCAAGTTGCGAGTGGGTGGGTGGGTGGGATGTTTGCGCGAGCAGTGGAGTGGACAACTCACTGCGAACAAAACTTAATTCTAGACGCTTCGCGTATCCCCACCAGCCCGTCCAGAAACGACGCCCAGGCGAGTAGAGGGTCGTCCTGAAGGGCTTTTCGGCGTCTTGGGTGCATCGGGGGGGGCCTAGTTGGGCCGTTTTGGGTCCTCTTGGGGGCCTCCTGGGGGCCTCTTGGGGCCATCTTGGGGCCATCTTGGGGCCTCTTGGTGCCTCCTGGGCGCTTCTTGGGGCCATCTTGGAGGAAATCGATCAAAGAAGAGGGGAGCTTCAATTAGCGCTGCCCCCTTCAGAAGGCCAAAATGGGGCCAACACCTTAGTACAATCAATGATTGTGGCTTCCTCGGCGAGGCCGTTTTGGACGCTCTGACCGCTCCCCGCCCCCCCTGTCCAGGTCAGTGGGGAGGGGGTAGGGGGAGGGGTAAACCCCTCCCCGAAGGGGAAGAAGGAGGGGTGGAAGAGGAAACTCGTTAAACCACCGACGCCCTAAAGGGCTGGCGGGATTGCACCACGTAGCTTGCACCACACGGCTAGCACCACATAGCTTGCACCATATAATCCCACCAGCCCTTTAGGGCGTCGGTGGTTTAACGAGTTTCCTCTTCCACCCCTCCTTCTTCCCCTTCGGGGAAGGGTTTACCCCTCCCCCGACCCCCTCCCCACTGACCTGGACAGGGGGGGCGGGGAGCGGTCAGAGCGTCCAAAACGGCCTCGCCGAGGAAGCCAAAATCATTGATTGTACTAATGTGTTGGCCCCATTTTGGCCTTCTGAGGGGGCAGCGCTATTTGAAGCTCCCCTCTTCTTTGAAGCCACAATCATTGATTTTACAATGGTTTTGGCCCCATTTGGGCCTTCTGAGGGGGCAGCGCTAATTAAAACTCCCCTCTTCTTTGAAGCCAAAAACATTGATTTTACTAAGGTGTTGGCCCCATTTTGGCCTTCTGAGGGGGCAGCGCTAATTAAAGCTCCCCTCTTCTTTGATCGATTTCCCCCAAGATGGCCCCAAGAAGCGCCCAGGAGGCACCAAGAGGCCCCAAGATGGCCCAAGATGGCCCAAGAGGCCCCCCGGAGGCCACCAACCTCCAATGAGAAAAGACAGAATAAGGATTTAGTGTTATAAAATGGGGCTCTTCGTATTAAACGACTAGGTGTGGGAGTAATTG